GGATTTATGCGGCCTGGAGTTCTGAAATGCACCCAAGAGAAAACCCGTGCGTGGCTTTATAAACAAATAGAAAAATCAATTCTGCATTTAACCAGCAGCCAGTACATGGAGGCAAGTAGGGCTGTATTTCTTTCCATCTTTACCAGTAAAACGCCTCAGAGCAGCATTCTGCACCAGCTGCACACGAGGCAGAAGGAACAGACCAATACCCAGGTAGAGTGAGTTACAGTGATCTCGCCTTAAGGAGATTAATGTCGTGGTGACAGTTTTAACGTCAGTGAGACAGAGGATGGATTGTACCTCAGCTGGAAGTAGCATCTTTTCATTATGAAGTCATCGTCAAATGGAGAGGAATCAAAGATGACACCAAGATTCCTGGTATGGGCTTGCAGTTAATGGTCCTCAACAGCTGGTGATGGCTGTTGTTTGTTGGGCGTGGTGTTGTCGGGATTAAGAGGGAGGTAAATAGTAAATGGAGCCTGAGAGAAACATATACAGGAAGAACAAAAGCGGTCCTGGAGTTGAACCCTGAGGTATCCCACAAGTTGTCATGGCAGCAGAGGAAATATTTTTTATTAAAAACAACCTGCCAGCCAAGTAGGAGGCAAACCACTTTAACACAGTTCCCTGAATGCCCACATTGTCCTTCAGATGGTTTTAAAAGAATGCTATTATCAGGTTTACCACAATACTGTATCTTTCTCATTCTAAAACTCCTACATTCTTGATCTGCCTTCGTTAAGACAAAGTGCTCCTATTATACACCACATCTCTGTCGAATCCAGACTCCTGAGGCAGAACCGAGAGTAACATTAAGTGGAAGTTAATTAATGCATTTACTATTACCTCACAGCAATATTCAGTATAACAAAAAAAACAAACTGTGTCTCAGTTTCAGGCAATGTTTTGTGTCAGATTACAGTTGCCTAATCACAATGATGTCATCTCCTGTTAACCAATTAGGGCTACCACTTGTCTGCCTACTACTGTTTCTCTCAATGCCTGTGCGTTTATTGTTTTTTTTTTAAGTATATTTGAGAATATTTGTGTTAATAATGGGTTTGGTTCGACACAAACTGTTGGTGAGTGAAGCTGGAAATTCCTCCCTCAACATCCAGAACATCTTTTGTGCACAGCCCGATTAACAGAATAAAGCTAAGACATTCAGTATCTAAGACATGTAAAAGGCCCCAAGAAGAATCACAAGATAAACAGAATCACGAAGTATATTGTGCTATGTGAGTCTGCTTTTCTTCAACACAAAAAGATGAGAGTGGAGAAGGACGACAATCACACATTACGAGCAGCCATAGTGTCAGTATGACCTTAGTCAGTAGTGGCACTTTTACATTTTGAAGTGTTTTATCCTTTATAAAGAAAGAAAACTCTCAAGAAAGCGTCTTTTTATGTGATTTCTAAGATTTATTAATTCATTTGGCACACTGACATCAGAAATGAGGCTGTCCTGGAAGTGTCAGTCACACCGAGCGATCTCAGCGCTTCACATCTTCTTCATCTCAATGTGTTCAGACCTGCCTGCCTGTGATTTTTATCTCATTTTCAGTGTCCTCACATCCTCGCACTGTATCTTTACCTCACCTTGAATGCTTCCTCTGCCCCTTTACAGAGACTTTTTCACTTTTTTTCCCCCTCTTTTAGCTTTGTGCTGCTGGTTGTCAAAGTGTATTAAAGGAAACATCCTGTAATTGTCTGATGAAACACCGTCTCATCTGCGATTCGCGGTACAGACAGCTAGAGCTCCTCAGTGTTGAACATTTTGTCCACTACATTAATCAATGCGGTGGTGAACAAGCAAGCTGAAATGCTTCCAGCTGTGAATTAGATTTACACTTTGTATCACAGCCTGAAGCTTGTAGAGGGAAACTAAATGAGATCAAGTGAGTTCTGTGCATAATCAGACTTATACGCTCCACCACTACAGATGTTCACATAAATGTAGTAAAACGTTTCTCGCTGTTAAAAATCTAGTGAGTGCTTGGCCATGTGGCTTTTGAAACAACAGTAAACATTGCAGTTAATGTGGCAAGTGCTGTTGTTGGTTATCCTTTATAAGACGTAGAGCAGCTTGCAAAGAGATGTAGTTGATAAAGATAAAAATAGCCTTTACATAGCATAGAAGTTAGACAGCAAGCCACTGACCCGGTCGTCTTACTTTTCCACATCACTTTCAATGTATGTTTCACGCTGTAGACAGTAAAACAATTTCCAGGTGTGAATATTTCTGCACCCAGCAACCAACGCTGGGTGTTTGTCTTCTGATTACAGGAGGCTTCACACCCAGAGGAGATTCAATGTGCACAGAGTGAATATACTGAATGCATTCCTGTAAATAAAAAAATATATAGATATCAACAGGTGTTATTTCTGTACACAGCTACCCAGGTAGGGAGGTTCAAAGAAATACTGTTACCTAACAGAAAATCCACTGCACAGTAGGTGTGTCTGAATTATTCTCTTTAAAAAAAAATAAAACTGTACACAATATAGCATCTGTGAGTGAACAGCAGATTTAGTTTCATGTTTTTTTTTTTTCCAGGTTTGTGTGTTCTTTTCCCAGCTGAGGTGCATATGGTCATTCTGATACACAGAGATGAGTTTTTTTGGGCTATATCAATGACTGGAGGGACTTTAAACTACTCTCACACACACAAAAAAACAGGCGAAAACATAATAATCCTCGTATTATAGGACCAAGAAAAAATAATGAGAGTTAAAGCTCATTCTTAACCTTGCAACTAAAGGTGTTGCAATGAATTAGTAATCAGAGATCCACCAACATCTTTTATCAGAGGTTTAAACTTCATCTCTTTCTCACTACCTTTCATTGACTGAGACATGGTCAAAGAAAAGATCTGCCCTGGATGTCTTCTGACTATGACTCAGTAACATGTTTTAAAATTCTGCTTACACTGAAAAAGTCCCGCTTTCCCCTTTTTAAACTGAGGCAAAATTTTGTTTTAGTTCAGCTTTGGATGTTGCCTTTTTTCATGAAAAGGCAATTTTATCTCCCATCACATCACTTGCACTGGAAACACACCAGAAAGGAAACTCCTCACTGTGTGACTCAAAATAAATAGCCACCTTTTGACTGATTGTTTTTGGCAGTTTGGTAAAAACGGTGTCAGAAAATACTGAGGAAAGTGTTGACATTAATATTTGAAACTGAATTAGATATTTTTCCTGAACAAAAATAAAGTGTTGCTGGCAAACCTCAGTGTAAAGTCTCCAGTAAGACTCTCTGGCCTGCTATCCCCGCGGGGGTTTTCACAGTTGAACAACTGAATAATGAAGTTCTGAGTGTATAACCCTAAAGGCTTTTATGAAAGCATTGAAGGTAATCCATATGTCATTTGCAGTGCTTTTTATATAGGTGGAAATCTCAGTGGGGGGTTCCACTTGCAAGTGATGACTGTTAGGTGGACAGAGACTGATCAGAAGCTGCTTATTATTGCTACATGCAGGTAAACTTATATATAGTTTATTTCGCTTTCCTATCGACAGGAAATTGGCTTTGAACTTTGAATGTCCACATTTTTCTCTGCTCCTTTGAAAATGTGTGAAGCGCACTGTGCTTTTCAGAGATACATACGCTTTCTTATATGTCGGTGTTTAGGCCAACAGAGGTGTCTTACGTGTCCATGCCTACTCGGGCACACACTGACCGCTTTTCTCTGCTCAGCTGCTCGGTCGTTGCAGTCCATTTCTTGTCACCGCGAGGGCATCGAACAAACTGCACTAAACGTCTTGGTAAAACTGCCAGAAGCAATTTTGCTGCTGTTTCTATTTTCTCAGCTTGGGGCTGCGAGGTACCAAATTTCAACTCGTGCTTTGAGTGTTGGCTTGTCCCTTAAATCGCTGTCTTTAGTGATACATAAAAAACCCAATGAAACTGATTAGAAAATGAAAAACATGCAAGTTGTGGAACGTTTAATTGAATGCTATATTTGGCCTTAATGTCATATTGTTACAGTTTAATACATTTTTTCACGTCCATGTGAGTAGAGAAGCACAGGAGCATGTGTGACGAAGATGTTGTCATGGGAACACAGCTGGTCATTCTTTATCGCTACGCTCAAAAACTATAAAATTGTTGACCAAAGACAAGTGTTAGCCATGTTTTTTTACCAAACACCCTGAGAAAATAATTGGGTTTCTAAAAGAAAACTCAGCACTGGGATTGTTTTCTGGCTTCATACAACTGCAAGAAGTGCAATTACTGGCCTTTACTTATAAAGCGCTGAGCTTGTAAAGAACCCTGAGTGAATGTAACATCTTGTGAGGCATGGCTGTGTCAGGAGATCGTCCTTCTCGCAGAGTGTAGCTTTTCTTAGACACACACATCCAAAGGCTGTGCTCAATGGAAAGTGATTAGATGTAGATCTTAAGCACCGGCATCCGTCTCTTCAAGTCATAAAGGTCTCACGTCAATATGGCAAGGACATGTTGAGCTGTAGCTGAAGTCAGGATGGGAGGGGAGCTTGTCTCCTCATGTCATCAGTGTCGGATGAATGACTCACTCACCTACACATAACTCACAGAAAAAAGTAATCACATTACTAACTTAGCAGCACATGTGTAAGTAATGGGTTACAAACAGGAAGAATCTACTGTTTGATGGCTGTTGTGTTGATACTGATTAGACTGTAGCTCTTTAATGACAGTGTGACAGACAGTAAAATATAGTGGAAAGAACTGATTGGAAATGAGGCAGCGATCATAATCAGCTATAAAAGCTCTAAACAATCAATCATTTGACTGTAAAAGAGGCTCAAGATGAATAATATGGGTAATATCTGTACAGAGAGACTGTTTGGATACCTCATCAGAATTGTAGTTGGAATAGAAAAGAGGAAGAAAAGACTGATGAACAGCTAACAGACAAACCTAAGAGTATAATACAAGATACAATTGAAAAGCTAAGAGATTGCAGCAAAAAAATATTGTAAAAAACTTCCCTATTCTTGTCTATTTTCCAACAGATGTTCATATTTCACAATGTGACCATCACAGTCCCGGAGAACTTCACCCAGTGCACCACTCATGGCAGTTTTGTCCAGCGCTGGCAGGAGACCCTCTACAACATGTTCACCTTCGTGTGCCTCTTCCTCCTGCCTTTGGCCATCATGATCTTCTGCTACACACGAATCCTCATCGAGATATCCAGCCGCATGGCTCGGAGTAACCGTAAGTCTCGTGTTTTCTTCAGCTTTTAAAAAAACAAAATCTGCAGTCGGACTATGTTGTCTGGGACACAAGGAGCTGTGCGTGACTGAGACTGTGTTTTCCTCTTTCTTCTAGAGTTCTCCAAAGACGTGCATCTCCGCCGCTCCCACAACAACATCCCCAAAGCTCGGATGAGAACTCTTAAGATGAGCATCGTCATCGTGACTTCCTTCATCATCTGCTGGACGCCGTACTACCTGCTGGGCCTGTGGTATTGGTTGTTTCCTGAAAAAATGGAGGAGACGGTCTCTCATTCACTGACTCACATGCTGTTCATCTTTGGCCTCTTCAACGCCTGTCTGGACCCCATCACCTACGGCCTGTTTACCATCCACCTTCACCAGGGTCTGAAGAGGTGCCGTCAGCCTTCCAATACTCGGACTGAATTAGAAAACAACACTTGTCTCATACGAATGTCGTCGCACACGCAGATTGGCCACAATGCACACGCCGAGGGGTTAAACGACAACAACGGCACAAAGAATGCCACGCAGTCAGTCGTCCCAGTAAGCAAGATATAACGTCCGTCTCCCTTCTTTAGAGATGATGGCTTGTTCATTTATTTAGCTTTTAAATGTTCCATGAAAGTTATTCTTCTGTGAGATGAATGTGTTTATTTCTGCTCTGCTAATGATGTGTTGCAGTTTGGCCTTGGTGTATTCATCCTATGATATCGCACACATAGTATGTTGGGTGCCTCTGGTCAGATTTTGAAAAGAGTGACGCAGCTCAGAAAGAAAATTTGATATAGTCTAGGTTTTTTTTTAATTGAGTTAACTCAGCAAAACCTAAAACCCCAATCAGAGATAAACGTAACACTACCATGGGTATCAAGTTGCTTTGTGAATCCAGGTTTTCTTCATCAGAATTCATTCATTCCTAATCACTCCTGTCAAGAGGAACTGGCTGTTACACTGGAGAGCTTTGAAGAATGTAAAAAATGACTACGGCAAAAATAGGGTGGCCATATTTTGATTACCGAAAACCAGGACACTCGACGAGATCCTCAGATGATACTCGAGGTTTACTCAAAGAGGTCTTATAATTTCAATACATCATCACTTCATAAAAAACAACCAGGAACCAGGGAAAACAGGACGTTTGGTCACCCTAGGCAACAATGCAGTTACCACAAAAGAGGAGTGCTGGTAAAAAAAGAAATGTAGATGCTTATTTCTACCAGAACTGCTGCATGTGAAGTGGATTTGGTCTGACAGTGTTCCATAACAAAGTATATGTTGAGATCCCTTCATTTTTTGGCCAAATCAGAGGTTAGATAATGTCACTGATAGAATATTCTCTGTGATACATACCAACAGTCTCATCAGGTTTCTAATCAGTGTTTTATTAGCTGGACTTGGAAGCAAATCAGCACCAAACATAAAAACATATTTCTGCATTTTCTGCATCAGCGGCTCAATTCATGTAGGTTCCTGTGGCAACGCGACACATGCGGTTTCTCTGCTGTAGCTGCACGGCTTCATTCAGTGGTAATGATGTTCGGCTCAACAGGTTTCCAGACATGTATTATTCTCTCAACTGACAGTCTGCGTCACTCATAAGGAACATTGTCAGACAAAAAAAAGAAAGGAGAAAGGGTGGTGAAGCAGAGGAGCCTCTTACGACATGTTTAAATACCAACCTCTGAACACAACCTCATCGATGCCAGGCTAGCTGTGCAGCATAAATTACTATGGAGATCTAAATACAGGGCCACTGAAAACGCTAACTTTAGGCTCAACTGCCCCATTAAACACACTTTGTAGTGCACCCCTCTGATCTGCCGATCACTCATGTAGGTAAGGTTTCAAGGCTTCAGGTTGAAGTGATGATAAATCAACTGGAAGTTTCCGTACAATTCATTGAAACTGCCTTCGAGCCATTTGCTCCAGTGTCTCTCTTTGCAACAGCGGTCTTAAAAAAAAAGAATCTTGATTGACAATCAGTTGATTTTAATCAGTGTCACACAGACACACATCGCTCAGCTTCTGGGTTTTAGTGAGTAAATCTTATAATTTATTGTATGATTTCCTGTAAAACAAATTATATGTATGACTGATTAGGCTTAAATTATCTGTGAGAAAAAATAAGTGCCACACTGATAAAAATTAAAGGTTGTGTGGGGGTGATTTTGTTGTCGTTGTTGTTTACTGACAGTTTTACTATATTTGTTGTGTTAGTTTTTGAACAAGTTCCTCTGCCGATCATTATATTGACTAAAAACTGCTCTCAGCTGTCATTCCTGGTGTTATGTGTGCAATATGAAATGAGTAATTTTGGTTCATTCCAACAATGAATGTTATTACTGACCATGACAGCCTTTTAAATCTGTATTGAATGTACCTGTGCAGTTTGTTGTTTATGAGTTATTGACTGTTTAACTGGTCAAAGGTCAGCTCTGTATTTACCGTGTTACACTCCAACCACAGCGGAGGCAATGCTCTGTAAAATATCCATGACTCAGCATGCCGTTTGGGTGTCAGTGTTAGTGTTATTAGCTAATTATGTTGTGAATCGTGTTTTTTCTGTGACCAAGAAAAGCACATAATTAAAAACACTGAAACTTCAAATCTGTATTGATAAGTTATCAAAAAAAAATCTGCAGAGATATTAGAATATTTGCACATTTTTTGCAAGTTATGCAATATGTTGTCATGTGTACTTGCAATGTGTTTATTTGTTGAATAAAAATTCTGCCTTTTTTGTTGTCGTCACTGTTCGGTGATGCTCATGCACATTTGTGGTGTAATAAATTGATTTCAACTGGGAAAACTAAAAGACTACAACCCCTTCAGTGACTATAAGGGCTCCGTTTATTACATTTCATCGAGTTCTATTTTTGAAATATTGACTGTATTCTTTTCAGAAGTCAGGAATGCAATTGTACAGCATCTTCTCTTTTGTCGCTGTCAGAAAGGTTGTTGGGAAAATGATTTCAGCAAATGGTGCATTTTCCCAGTGGTTGTCACTTTTCAAACAAACAGTTTCTGGGTACTTAACCGACTTCTCACCCAGGTGGAAATTTAAACATCTTTGAATTACAGACTTGGATACAAACGCTTCAGAACAGCAACTAGACAGATTTTGCAGTGAAATGTTTGTTTTTTTTTTCTGATTATCTGCTCTTTCCAAGATCAAGAATGAGGTTTGATCACCTCCACCAAAGAGGAGCTGAAATATTTTTCCCCACAGTGACCTCACTCCGCTCTCGTTTCTACAGCCACTGGCAAAAAGCGTAAAACCCCAAATTAAAACCTCAAAATATTTCATTTAGCCAGCGGGTTTTACAGCTCACTGGACCACAGAGATCAAAAATTGTCCTGGTTTGACAATCATTGGAGAAACCAATCCTGCAGCTCTTGCAATCAGAGTTGAGATGGAACCATTGTACAACTACTGCCAACCTTGGGACGAACAATGCTCCCCTGATAAGCCAATTTTCTCTGACTAGCTGAGAATTTTTAAAAAGCTATGACAAAGAGCACCATTTGGTAGCAGCGCGCGATATCTGACGCTTTTTGTTTAATTGGGTATTTAGTGGGACTTAACATTCCTCGTAGCCATCATAAGCTCATGTCCTCCTCTGTGTTCACTGCCAAAAAAAAGTGTTTTTTTCCTCAAAGTCGTTCTTAGGAATTTGTAAGATGAAAGCAGACAGAGGATTATATCAACCGAGGGGGCATTGTTCAAGAGATGTTAAAAGATGGAATCATATCAAGATATTTCTGGTTCTCATCATTCATCATTAGTTAATCTCTGGCGTGACTTTATTGTGGCACATAATTAGGCTGCTTAGCCTCGAAAAGTTGCCTCACTTAGATAGATATTTGTTATTTGGACATTAAAGTGTCATTGGGAGTGAAAATGAACGTTTCAGGACTACAGATGTGAACCACTTGTGCTCTATCATGCCACACATTCCGCACACACAGAGCTCTTGGATGCTCTTCATCTTTAATTACGACAAAGCAGAGTACAGCAGCGTTATGACTCTGCTGAAATTATTGGAATTCAACTTTAATTTGTTAAGTATTTAATATCGTGAAACTGTGTATCATACAGGGCTGCAAGGTGGGTCAGTGGTTCGCACCGTCGCCTTGCAGCTAGAAGATCCCCCGTTTGCATCCTGGTGAGGACACCTGGGCTCTTTCTGTGTGGAGTTTGCATGTTCTCCCCGTGCAGTGTGGGTTCTCTCCGGGTTCTCCCGCAGTCCAAAAACATGTTGAGGTTAATTGGTGATTCTAAATTGTCCGTAGGTGTGAATGTGAGTGTGCTTGGTTGTCTGTCTCTAAGTGTAGCCCTGTGATAGACTGGTGACCTGTCCAGGGTGTCCCCTGCTTTCGCCCAAAGTCAGCTGGGATAGACTCCAGCCCCCCGCGACCCTAGTGAGGATTAAGCGGTGTATAGATAATGGATGGATGGATGGATGGATGGATCATACATCGTGACTACAAGTTGTCACGGATACATGAGTGAATACTATGAATCTCCTCCCTCACCGCGGAGACAAATTAAAAGTCTAGAGCAGCATTCTGAGCGGTGAGCAGGGCGCGCTTGCTGAACCTGTACAAATTGACAGGATGACAAGTACATGTTTAGGTATTCACAGTGAAACACTCATTAGTGACCTGGAGCGCACATGGCTTGCTACAGTGAATGACGAGGTCAGTAATCCTGGCAGGTCCCTCTCAAGGGCATCTTATCGCTGAGCGACATTATTAAACCAAAACTTAGCAGCAGATATCTCATCTGTCACAGGGATGCCACTTCAGATATCCACCCCTGCATGACTGCTCTGTTGGTGAGACATCACATTTGAGAATGATGCTGAATTATGATATCAAAGCACAGGCCATCTGAGAGGACTGGCTGCAAAGCACAAATGTTTCAGTTTACTCTGAGCAGCTAAGAGAGCTGTAAAAGATACATTAAAGTTTAATTTTTTAAAGAAACTTTTATCATCATGCAGTAGCCGTAAAGGAAAAAAGAGCAGAGCAAAATTGCCCTGCACAGCAGCAGCTAAAGTAGCAGTACTTTTCTAACACCATCCTGCTGTGTTACACCTGAAAAAGCTCCTGTATGCACAGAGAGCGTTTTGTACCGTGAGTTAATATTTACAGTCACGGACTGACAGGGCGCTTATTCTTTCATACTACAAAATGGAAAACAAACTCCACGTCTGAGATCTTTCATTGCCTCCTGCTCGCTGAACTTAAAGCTTATTTACACCCCAGGTTTAAACCCTTAAGCAGAGAGTGTAAGGACAGAAACAGAAGTCAGGTTGATGACCAGCTGTTTAAAGGTCCTTCTTTACAGTTTGAAACAAATGTGTGCATGACTCAAGCAAAACAAGGACACACTCATGAAATCCTGCTGAACGAGGCTACGAGAAACCCAAGAGTGGAAGAATACAAGTGGAAAATATTGACAAAGAAACTGGCAAACACACGACTGGAGGCACGTCTCCTCAACGATTTCTTCTTTTCTTTTTCTTTTTTTATCCTGTCAGTCATATTGACCT